GACAAGAAATCAATGCATACCAACTCCAAAGGTTTGTTGCTGGTGATGTTCTTGAGATATGCAGCCCTCGTGGGCAGAGTTTTCCTTTGAACACATCGAGCGCAAGTCTCACATTTCCTGCGAACATCTTCAGCCATTCGGGGCCAATAGAACCTACTACGAATAAGTTCCAGGGTCCTCTCCATCCCTAAATGCCCAAAGTCATCATGCAGGGCCCTCATGGCCAGGGCTCTGTACTTTTTTGGCAGTACTAGTTGTGCTCGTTGTTTTTGTAAAGGGTCAGTGGTCATTCGGTGTAGCACTCCCTGAATCAGTTTTAGTTTGGTCCATTCTCTCAATAGTAGTTTACCCTCCGGGTTAGGTGGGACAACCGCAGCTGGGCTTCGCCCCTCCCTTTTGGCAAGTAGTGTATCACGAATGTTAATATCTTGCCGCTGGGCTTCTTGCCAGTCAGCCGCATTGAGCATGGGCAAAGGAGATTGGTCTAATGCAATATAGTTCACCGAAGCAAAAGGCATGCATTCAGGGGGCAGGCCCAAAGCTTCTGCAACACATCCCTGAAAGCCCTCACGGGCCTCTGGCTCTCGGCGACTCACACTGCAAATAGATCTCACTCCATCTGTGGGTATCACAGCAACTTCTGGAGCCTGCGGACGCCTGGACAATGCATCTGCATTTACATTGCTTCTCCCTGATCGGTACTGAATGCTGAACTCATAGCTAGCCAAGGCGGCCACCCATCTCTGCCCTGTAGCATCCAGCTTAGCACTTGTTAACACATAAGTCAGTGGATTGTTGTCTGTCCACACCTGGAACTAAGCACCATACAAGTAGTTTTGAAATTTCTCAGTGATGGCCCATTTCAAGGCCAAAAATTCCAGCTTGTGGGTGGGATAGCGAGTTTCACTATCAGACAATCCTCGGCTGGCAAAGGCTACAGGTTTACATTTGCCTTCCACTTCCTGGTACAGGACTGCTCCCAGACCCTCCAAACTGGCATCAGTATGCAGGATAAATGGTTTGCTTGGGTCAGCAAAAACTAGGACTGGAGCATGAGTTAGGCAAGTAATGATTTCTCGAAAAGCCCTTTCACATCTCTCATCCCACCGTGGCCCAAATGGTGCAAAGGGGCCATTGTGTCTCTGCACAGGAGGCTTTGGGGACCTCCCCTTATTCTTGGACTTAGATTTGTTCTTGCTGGACTGATGTCCCCTGGTAAGATCATTCAGAGGCTTTACAATCGTAGCATAGTTTTTCAAAAATCTGCGGTAGTAGCCACTAAATCCAAGAAAGGTCTTGAGTTCTCTGTAGTTACTTGGACGTGGCCATGTAGTGAGTGCTTCTATTTTATCAGGATCAGTACTCACACCTTCTTGGGACACAATGTGACCCACATACTTCACTGAGGTTCTGTAGAACTGGCATTTGTCAATTGAAAGCTTCAGACCATAATCCTCCAACCTATCAAGCACTTTAAGAAGTCTTTCTTCATGCTCCTCTAAGGTTCTTCCAAACACAATCAGGTCATCCAAATAAACTAACACTTGCAGTAAATTCATGTCTCCCACAACTTTCTCCATGAGACGTTGAAAGGTGGCAGGTGCTCCAGAAATCCCTTGGGGCATGCGTTCGAACTGATAAAACCCTAATGGGCAGATGAAGGCTGTCTTCTCCTTATCTTCTTCTCCCAGAGGGATCTGGTAGTATCCACTTCGAAGATCCAACACAGAGAACCACTGGCTTCCCAGCAAACAGTCTAAGGCATCTTGCACTCGAGGCATAGTGTACTGGTCGACCACAGTACGTCTGTTTAGGGTGCGGTAGTCAATACACATCCGGATTTTCCCATTCTTTTTGCGGACTACCACAATGGGTGAGGCGTATGGGCTGCGGGACTCTGTAATGATGCCATTCGCAGCCAGCTCCTGAAGATGATGTCGCACATCTTCCATCTCAGAGAGAGCAATCTTCCTAGATCTCTCCCTGAAAGGTCGAGAGTCATGTAGTCTGATATTGTGCTCTACTCCTTTTGCACATCCCACATCCCACTCATGCAGTGAGAACACCTTGGATCTTTCACAAAGTTTCTTCCTCAGGCGATCTTTCCAGTCCTCGGACACTGGTGAATCTCCAAAGTCAAACTTTGCTGGGTCTATTGTCGGAACTTGAGTTTCACACTGGGGTTTTACAATCGACTCAGGCTCAAAGAGGTCTGCTATCTTTTGTCCTTGCTTCACAAAAATATCACGACTCGTTTCATTAGCAATCAGTATAGTCACCCTTTCCTGGGCTTCAGCAGGTAGGGTTATGACTCCACTGGGGACCAGCACTCCTTCAGGGAGCTCTCCTCCCATCGGCTGCTCTATCATTGCTAACGTCCCTTTACTGCCTTTCAGACAGGTACTCATGACAAGCACTTCTTGCTCTGTCCTTGCAGGCACTACTAAGGGGGTTGTGCCCGCGTACTTCAGTGCCCCAAGCGGTAGCTCAGAGGTGTCCCTTTTAGCGCTCTCAATTTTCCTATAGGCTTCAGCACAAAGCGTATGGATCATCAGGGTATTCAGGTATTGGTCCCCAGCCCGCCTTCTGCAGTAATCCGCGAGTACCTTGAAGAGACTGGAGTTGGTCCCTATCAGCACAGACACATCAGAAGTCCCTTTAGGGTCAGGGCATATTAAGGCAGCTGTGTCTACCTCTTCTCTTACCCCAGCAACCTCCTCTGGGAATTCCAGGTGCACTATGACATACCCTTGGTAGGGGTACTCATCCATGCTGAGGCCACACAGGCCAAGGCCAGTCAGTGGCTGTATAGGCAGGTGCCTAAGCATCTGTTGGTAGAATGACTGAAATATAATAGTCACTTGAGATCCAGTGTCAAGCACTGCTTTACACTCCACCCCTTCGATCCTCACCGTGACCTCTGCTCGAGGCCCTATCAGTCCTGCAGGGATCCCAGCTGGACAGTCTTTCCTGGGGGAATCTTCAAATCCTGCAGACCTGGGGGGTCCCCGTCCCCAGACCCTCTGGCAGCTACCGGATCTCTCCCAACTGATCCTCAGCTTTCCATACACTAAGGAGGGGTTTTCTTCATTACGGCACTTGGCAGCACTGTGTCCATCCTGACCACATCGGTAGCAGAAGAATTGACCTTTCCCCCTTCGCCTGGGGGGGATGGTGGCTCTAAGTACGGGCTTCTCAATCGCCACAGTTTGAGGCTTCTTATTCCTGGAAGTCTTAACTCGGTCAACGGTACTTTGCAGCTCAGCTATCCGTTCCGTCAGGACCTGCATTTGTTGGGCAAGTTCCTCTCTGGTGCTCACCATCAGTACACTGGCCGTTTGCAGTGGTGTTGTGCTGCCTGGCTCCGATGTTTGGGCTTCCCAAAACTCACTGGCAGCCTGCCTTTCTTCCTCCTCTCGGACCTCTTTTATCAGCTGGGAGTAACTTGGGGGATGTTCCCGTCGTTCTCTTAGCTGGAGATGAAGTAGAATCGGGTTCTGATACTGAGTTCCTCTTACAATTTGAGCCAGTCTGGTCTGATCCATCTGCTCAGCAGTCACTGGGGATCCCACAGCAGCCAAAGTGACCATTTGGGCAGCTATGGTCTCATTCTAGGCGTGGTGGGTGTGCCTATGCAAATGAGGTCGGCCCCTGAAGTTCTTTTCCACAACTTGCCACACCTCACCACCAGATGTCAGGGTGGAGCTCATCCTGACACTGCTTACAAATACATCTACAGGAACTGGGAATATCTTTGAGTTAAGAAGCCATCAATTAGAGCCAGCTGTTTGTTTAATTTTAGTGCTCTGCATAGCCATGTAGGACGGTCCAGTCCAATTCCTGGTACCAACCTTACTCCCTGGAGTGTAAAAGACTGGAAGACATGGAATACAGTATCATACTGCTCAGCACTTTTTACACTATAAAACTACAACGGATACTACATTTTATTTCAAATTGTTTCAGAGTGTGGATATAATTATGGCTTACACAGCTGAGCCAAGCCAGATTCATCAAAAGTATGTTTTGTGTATGGAATAATGGGGCCTAATTCTACTCTTATTTAGAGCCTATTGCTGAAAGTTTCCAACCATCAATGGCCATTAGTGGTTCTTAGTACCTTGCAAGATTGAGGCCATACACCCATGTAAATGCAGAATAAATAAATTGGGCCCAGCTTTTTGCAGATGGTGTAGGAGGTGTTCATCCTGAGCGTGCAAGTGGTGTTTTTGCCAGACTGTCCTTTGGGGTATTACACTGGGTAAGATATAGCAGGGGCTTGGCCAGGAAAGAATGCTAAGGGGATACTCTGAATCAGTGCTTTTGCTGAGCATGCATGCTCAGAACCACCCACTTTTGATGTCATGCTGACCTCCTGCACACCTTAAGAAAATAAAGTTGCAGTTGTGAAAGCATCTTACAATTGTCCCCTTCCCCCTGTTGACTTTCTGCTGCTGTTGGCTTATACCACAAACTGGAATTGATACCAGAGAAATTCCCCAAACTCCATTTTGTATCCCTGCCTTCTATTTTAAATAAGAGTCAGTCCATCATTAGATGGAAGCTGCAGGTCATATAGCATAGCACTAAAAATAGAATTGGTGGGGAAAAGGGTGGCAACAGCACATCATAACCCTGAGGAAAATAACAGTTGCAAAAATAGAATTGGCAGCAATAAACAAGTCTAAATATAGAACTGGCATGCTTGGAATGTTGGCATGAGTCCAAGAAAATTCAGACAGAAAGATATTAGCAGAAGTGTCTAGAAAGTTCTGACAGGATAGTATAAAGGTCAGTGTGTCAGTGGATAGTTGTAAGAAGGGAAAGGGATGCCTGAGGTGAAGCGAGAGAAGAACAGCAACAGCAGAAGTAGAAGAAACAGCAGCAGCGTTTGAGAAAACCAGCAGCAGAGGGAGTCCTGTCACGGGAGCAGAGGGAGAAGAGACAGTGTGCATGAGGAACGGTGCAATGAAGTCAGCAAACAAAGTAAGCTTGTCAGTTATAGTGTTAGTGTATATACATGTGTGTGGGAGGTTAATAAAGATGCATGAGTGCATGTTAAGTATGAAGTATGAAGTTAAGTATGGAATTAGAAAAGGTTCAGAAAAGGGCAACAAAAATGATAGGAGTATAGAATGGTTTCCGTATGAGGAGAGATTAATAAGACTGGGACTTTTCAGCTTGGAAAAGAGGTGACTAAGGGGGGATATGATAGAGGTTTATAAAATCATGAGTGATATAGAGAAAGTAAATAAGGAAGTGTTATTTACTCCATCTCATAATACAAGAACAAGAGACCATCAAATGAAATTAATAGGTAGCAGATTTAAAACAAGCACAAGAAAGTAATTTTTCATGCAATGCACTGTCAACCTCTGGAACTCCTTGCCAGAGGGTGTTGTGAAGGCCAGTACTATAAATGGGGTTCAAAAAGGAGCTAGATAGATTAATGGAAGATAGGTCCATCTATGGCTATTAGTCAGGATGGGCAGGAGTGGTGTCCCTAGCCTCTGTTTGCCAGAAGCTGGGTTTGGGTGACAGGGCATGGATAACCTGATGTTGATCTGTCTGTTCATTCCTTTTGGGGCACCTGCCACTGGCCACAGGACAGGCTACTGGGCTTGATGGACCTTTGGTCTGACCCAGTATGGCCGTTCTTATGAAAGGAATTTATATATGTAAGAGCTAAACAATGATTTAAAACTATCAGTTACCTGTGAACAACAGATCACTGTAAGCAGGGCACATCATTTAGAATAATCTCAACTGTATGTTATTGCAGTTTGGGTGCTTTTTAACTTGCAAGGGATTTGTGTCTTAGATTATTATTGTATTAGGGATTGTGATTTGCAACAATTAAAAAGGTGCCTTGTTCTGGAAAGGGCACTGCTTGTGTCAATCTGTTATTTATTGGAAGGCTGTATCCGTAGCCTCCAAGTATTTCCCTTGTCACTCTGGAGACCCATACCTAATGAGATCAGATTGGTTACGTTATGGGTATACCCTGAAATAGACTTAGGGTAACAGCATCAGCCCTATCTCTTGCCCAGACTCTAAAGGCTAACTCTTCTGGGTTAATTTACAACTATAACCTAATGCATATACATGAAGGGGCAGAGTTAAGGTTGTGCAGATAGCCTTAACTTTGGCATTTCTTTACTTTTAATGTTTAATTTTGCAACCTTAGCAATCTCCTGAAGTTTTTTTTTTAAACAAATTTCATATATATTAAAATAGTTTTTTAAAAATCTCTTCTGTGGAATTAAATGCTAGACTACATTAGAATTCTCTGTCTGGCATACAATGGACTATCAATTGGGCATGGTATTACATTAGAAAATGACTGAAAATTGATGACATCAGATAATTTTTTTTACATAAAAAACACATAATATTTAGGCTTTCATACGGTCTGTCAGTTCAAAGAAAACCTCCTTTTCTTAAATGCATGCTTCCTGTTTACAATTTCAGATGACTATTTCATGATTTCAAAATGCTTACCTGTTCTCTGTCCTCCAAACGTCAATCAGTTTTAAAACAAATAGAGTTAGAGGGGATTAAGCTGTCAAAAATGTAAATCTATATGTTGTAGTTAAAGTCTGCTCTGGTTACTGATCAGACTATAGTTTAGTGTACGATGAAAATAAAGATAAATTTGAAACACATATCAAGAAGTACTGTGCTGTATAAAGAGCCAAGTTTGGAATGGCCTAACCAGGCAAGGTCATTGAGGCTGAACTCAGAGGCTGTTTAAGAAAAAGTACCTATTCTAAGGGGAATTGGTGTATTATGGTAGTGCTATTATCATTGCTCACTTTTTCCATTATTAGCCCACAGCTTTAAATGGTTTATAACTCAGTGATTGTATTAAAATATCATACCCTGACTAAAACTCTGCATGTAAGATCCAATTAGGAATTAAAAAAAAATAAAATTTGTTTGGCTTTTATCTGAATTTTAGCAAACACAACAAAAGGATTATTTGGTTACTAATGGGCTAACCCAGTTTACCTCTGAAGCCAGCTGTGGTGCCATGATGAATGCTACACATCACACCAGCTCACCCTCCTAGGGAGTGTGGGCATCTGAGAGTAAGGCGCTGATCATTACTGGCTAATACCATGAAGTGATAATATTCTTCAGCTGCTACTGGCACAAATTCCTGTGGCCATAGTTAAATTAGTGGCATACATAATTTCCTCATTAACATGCCCTTCCGTACCTGTAACCCTCTCCATCAGGAGGGGCTTATTTATATATCACCACTAAGCATAATAATGCGTCTGAACAGGCCCTTCTTCGTAGAGGGAAAAATGGAAGGGGATGGAAGGGAGGGAGGTTGGAGCTATGATGTTAAGTGGAGTGTTGCTTTAGGAAAAACTGCAGGATTGAGTTTAGAAGTTTCCTAAAACCCAAAACGCCATTGGCTTCTCATATCCCTATTAGCAATGTTGTCCAGACTTCTTTACATTCTAATTCATTCTTTCCCATGTTGTATGTGAGTGCCTTAGTGTGGAATCTGCTCCCTTTTTAATGCTCTCACATTGTCTTGCCAATTGCCTGAGTATAATAATTTTGCCACTATAAGATTAAGGGAAATCCATCTTGATGTCTCATATGGAATCTGTTTTGATTATTTCAAGATGAGCTGTTTGTAAATATGGGATTTCATGATAGACTCTTTATTGTATGCTGTTTTGGAATGTGTTACCATGACAGAGTACTGGAAAGAGGCTGATATGACGGGAGTTGTGTTAGGATTCAACACTGAGCTGTTTTCATGTTGGCATTTTGCTCAGTACTCTGAAGGGGTTTTAGAGTCCAAACAATGCTCGCTTAATGCTGGCATTAAGCTTTAACACAGTGGAGGGGGCTTTGAATATGTGGCTCTGCAGGTTTACATGTTAGTTGACTGTTGGTGTTTTGCCTGCATTTAAAAGCATGTCATTTAAATAAAAATATAGAATGCGTTTCTTTGTTAGGTTGTTTTTGGGATTCTAAAAAGAGCTAATAAGGACTGTTCAACTTATTGTTTCATGATAATATGTAAATTATGCATAGTACATAATATTTAACTCACATGATGCTTCTTGAAAAGTTATTTAGTAGATTAAATACATGGTTTTTACACAAAACTAAATATATAGCTAAGAAACATGGACTTTTTTGTCTCTTGGATAATATTTTTTGTTTAACATAGGGTATGTGCTTTTATAAAACCTTTAAATCTAAATGTGAGATATGGAGGAATATAGTCTAAGATTGAGGGACCACTAAATTAATAGTATTACCTAGCTCTTACATAGCACTTTTCATTAGTAGAACTAAAAGCACTTTACAAAAAAGGAGACAAGAATCATTGTCCTCATTTCACAGATGGGAAAACTGAGGGACCAAGGTCACCAGCCAAGCCAGGACTGGAGTGCATATCTTCTGAGGCCTTGTTCAGTGCTCTAGTCAGCAGGACACATTAGTGAACTCTGATCCTGAGGCGCTTTGAGTTCCATTTAATTTGTGACTGTTCAGAACATGGTTTATTTAGTTCAAATAAAAATAGAATCAACTCCAGAAATAGAATTTCTCTCAAGTTTTCCAGCCCTAACATAATACAGTTTTGTGTGTGATTTTATATGATAGGAGTACAAACTGTCCAAGTCCTTGACTCATTCGCCATTAATTTCATTCTTTTTAACAACCTCATATTTTGGATAACATTGTTAAGCAAGAGTTATTAATCTGTCTATAGTCATCTCTTTTATTAAGTGTAACTTTTCCTATTGCTTCCATTGCATAAGAGTCCAGTACTATGGACTGTTAGGTTTCTGTAAACCGGGCTATTAACTGATCTGTTGCATATTGAAAACATCTGCCCAAAATTAAGGAAATACCAGACAATGAAGAGATGATATGATTTTATCATTATATTTTATAATTGTCTGTCCTTTAAGCTTAGCATTGACTTATTTTGTTTTTTAGTTCTTTAAAATAAGTTTAACACACTACGATGGAAAGAAAGTAAATGGAGCATGCTTCCTTGTTTTGTCACATCCAACATATTCCTTTCTATGGATCAAATTAAAGTATTTACCCTACTCTGGTATTGAGAAGAATTTTTGCAGTTGTCTTTTTGAACATGTACATGTTTCTGAAATATACATCCAGGAAGCTGCTACATCTACTCTCATAATGTCCAATTCCCCACTCAGTATAAGTCAGGAGTTACTACACTGACGTAAATCAAGTTAAACTAATGTAAAATTGAAGTAAATAAGAGCAGAATTAGGCAGGCCTATATCCTTATTGTGTTGATCTTCTCTGCTAGTCTTCACCAGCTGAGTTTAACTCTCTCCATTGACTCTCCTGCCAGATGAATTAGCAGCTTTCATTACACTGCATTTCATCATTATGGTCTCTAGATTACTTTCAATTGGATAATTAATAAGCAATAGATCTACTGATGAAAAATGCTATATAAGGGCTATGACAAGGTGGCTATGATACTCTGAGTACGTTTCCCAGACCTGAAGAAGAGCAATGTGTAAGCTTGAAAGTTTGTCTCTCTCCTGAACAGAAGTTGGTCCAGAAAAGATATTCCCTCCTCCACCGTATCTCTCTATATAAGAGCTAGGCATTATTATTACCAGAATATGTTAACAAAGGGCTTCATATATCACTACAGAATATTATCACTACTCAGGAGCTGCTCCGATAAGGTTGGGGGATCAAAAGGATTCAAAGGCAAATTTGAATAATCTAATATTTTTGCGAATATATTGAACAACATTAGGTTTCGGGGGGGGTTATAAAATAAATGTTACATACAAAAAGTTACATTGAAATAATAGTACTTTGCTTGTAAAATCAAGCACTCAAAAGTTTGAAAATGACAGATTTAGGATTGCCCGTGCAACCTGAATTTGATCCCCTTGTGCGTCTACATTATTATGCAGTCTTTAATTACATGATCACATATTTCCTCTGTAGGATACCTGTCTCATTCAGTGCATAGGAAGGATGGTGCTCAATGAATGAGGCTGCTGTTCAATATTATTTGCCTCCACACCTTATTTCTTGCACACTTTTTTATCCCTGCCCTAAATACAGGATTATTCATTGCCTTGTGGCCTTTTATACGGTACTCAGGCCAGTTGTAACTGAGTATCTCATTCATATTAATGAATTTATCTTCACAACTCCCCTACAAGATAGTGTTATCAGCCCCATTTCACAGATGTGGAAACTGAGGCAGAGGCAAAGGCTAGGATCCACAAGGCCCAATTTTAGGTGCAACTGCACACTACAAAACTACCTCTTGACTGCCATCAAACCCTGTAGTCAGTGCCAGTCCTAGCCCATTGGGGACCCTAAGCAGGAATATTCCCCCCCCACACACACACACAAACAATACATACTAATAATTCATAGGGAGTCCTATACTACAATCTTAAATCAATCCAGGTTGGGTTGACTTACAACCACCACAGTAATTACCCTCCTTCTGTCAGTGGTGTGTGTCCTCCCCCGGAATGCTTCCACTGACTGAAGAGGGTCAATGTGGGGGGCTGAGAACCTGGGATTCTAGCCTCTGGGAGTGGGGGAATCCAGCCAGGACATCTCACCTCTGGTGGGGAGATCCGCGCCCAGGGTCCAGTTAGTTGCTGTGCGCCTAGTGGGAAACCAAGAGGCAGGGGAGGCAGCCAGGCTTCTAGCCAAGAGCCTTGGTGTAGCTAGGCTCTCTGTTGGGAGCAGGAAGCAGGGACCCCGGGGAGGGCGGTGGGGAGGGTAGCAGGGCTCCCTGCAGGGAGCAGGGAGCCCAGGCAGCAGACCAAGCTGGGAGCCTGGGTGACAACCCAGCTTGGAGTGGACAGCCAGCAACAGCCCGGCTGGGACAAGACAGCCAACAGCCGATGTACGTAACGCAGTGCCTACATTGACACTGAGTCGCCTTAACTACACTGAGGCATGGTCTACACTACGAGTTTATGTTAGATTTAGCAGCGTTAAATCCGAATTAACCCTGCACCCGTCCACACAACGAAGCCATTTTTTCGACATAAAGGGCTCTTAAAACTGATTTCTGTACTCTTCCCCAACGAGGAGATTAGCGCTGAAATCAACATCGCCGTTTTGAATTAGGGTTAGTGTGGACGCAATTTGAAGGTATTGGCCTCCAGAAGCTATCCAACAGTGCACATTGTGATCGCTCTGGACAGCACTCTGAACTCAGATGCACTGGCCAGGTGTACAGGAAAAGCCCCAGGAACTTTTGAATCTCATTTCCTGTTTGGCCAGGTGAGCTCATCAGCACAGGTGACCATGCAGAGCTCATCAGCACAGGTGACCATGCAGTCCCAGAATCGAAAAAGAGCTCCAGCATGGACCGAACGGGAGGTACTGGATCTGATCGCTGTATGGGGAGAGGAATCCATGCTATCAGAACTACGTTCCAAAAGATGAAATGCCAAAACATTTCAAAAAATCTCAGAGGCCATGAGGGACAGAGGCTACATCAGGGACGCAACACAGTGCCGCGTGAAACTTGAGGAGCTCAGACAAGCATACCAGAAAACAAAGAATCAAACGGACACTCCGGGACAGAGCCCCAGACATGCCGCTTCTATGCTGAGCTACATGCAATTCTAGGGGGGGCCGCCACCACTACCCAATCGCTGTCTGTGGACTCCGAGGATGGGATACTCTCCACCATGGCTGAGGATTTTGCAGATGGGGAAGAATAGGAGGACGAGCTTGGGGAGAGCACACAGCACACTGTTCTCCCCAACAGCCAGGATCTTTTTATCACCCTGACTGAAATACCCTCCCAAACCAATGAAGCCAGAGAAGGGACCTCTGGTGAGTGTACCTTTTTAAATATAATACATGTTATAAAAGCAAGCGTTTTTTAATGATTAAGTAGCCCTGAGGACTTGGGATGCATTCGTGCCCCTTACTGCTACTGGAAAAGTCTGTTAACGTGTCTGGAGATGGAGCGGAAATCTTCCAGGGACATCTCCATGAAGCTCTCCTGGAGGTACTCTAAAAGCCTTTGCAGAAGGTTTCTGGGGAGAGCAGCCTTATTCCGTCCTCCATGGTAGGACATTTTACCATGCCATGCTAGTAGCAAGTAATCTGGTATCATTGCATGACAAAGCCTGGCAGCATATGGTCCCAGTTTTTGCGGGCATTCAAGCAACTTCTGTTCTTTATCTCTCTGTGTTATCCTCAGAAGAGTGATATCGTTCATGGTAACCTGGTTGAAATGGGGAATTGATTAAGGGGACATTCAGAGGTGGCCGTTCTTACTGGGCTTTTGCCTGTGGCTGAAAAGAAATCCTCCCTGCAGTTAGCCATGCGGTGGGAGGGGGGGCCATTGGTGCTGAGCTGTTCGCGTTTGGCTAGCAGGGATCTTCCTGATACTAGCCAGGCAGTGGGGGGAGGGTATTGGATGGGGGTAGGGGGTTAGTTTGGTTTCTGCTGCTGCACGTTAACAGGAAAACTGCAGCAGTAAATGGCCAACTCAACAGGCTTTGCTTGGTATGGGAAAGGAGGGGGCTTCTGTTATGAAGGTTGCAGAAGCCGAAAGACTATGGCGTACCATGGCTGCCTGCAAGCCGAATTCTGTTGCCCGGCCCTGCGTGTGTGATCTCTAACACCAAAGCTGCAGGCACTCAATATAAGATGCAAAATGCGACCTTGTACCAAAATCACATGTGCTATGTAATGTGAATAGTGTTGTTCACCATGAAAGAGTATAGTCATTGTTCTGTAAAATGTATCTTTTTAAGTACTTCACTCCCTTTTTTTCCTCCAGCAGCTACAAATGTTTCAAGCCTCCCTCCTCTATCCCAGAAGCTATCTCAGATAAGGTGGCGAAAAATCGCACGCGCGATGAAACATTCTCTGAGCTCACGCAGTCGTCTGGCACTGACAGAGCTGTGTGGAGGGACACAATAGCAGAGTACAGGATGGTGGACGATGAACATGAGGAGAGGTGGCAGCAGAAAGATCAGAGGAGGCATGAGGAAATGCTGCGGATACTGTGGGATCAAACGGACATGCTCCAGCGTCTGGTGGAGGTTCATGAATGGCAGCAGGATCACAGACTGCTGCTGCAGCCCCTGCTTAACCGCCCTCCCTCCTCCCGAAGTTCCATAGCCTCCTCACCCAGACGCCCAAGAACGCGGGGTGGGAGGCTCCGGGTACCCATCTACTCCACCCCAGTGGACAGCCCAAGCAACAGAAGGCTGGCATTCAACAAATTTTAAAGTGGCCTTTTCCTTCCCTCCTCCCCTCCTCCCACACCCCACCTGGGCTATCTTGTGAGTTATCTCCCTATTTTTAAAATCAATTAATAAAGAATACATGTTTTTTAAATGATAGTGACTTTATTTCCTTTGCAAGCAAGCTGTGATCAAAGACAGGAGGGTGGGTGGCTTACAGGGAATTAGAGTCAACCAAGGGGGCAGGTTTTCATCAAGGAGAAACAAACAGAAGTGTCACACAGTACCCTGGCCAGTCATGAAACTGGTTTTCAAAGCTTCTCTGATGCGCACTGCTTCCTGCTGTGCTCTTCTGACTGCTCTGGTGTCTGGCTGCACGTATTTAGCAGCCAGGCGATTTGCATCAACCTCCCACCCCACCATAAACGTCTCCCCCTTACTCTCACAGAGATTGTGGAGCACAAAACAAGCCGCAATAACAATGGGAATATTGGTTTCGCTGAGGTCTGAGTGAGCCAGTAAACTGTGCCAGCAACCCTTTAAATGTCCGAATGCACATTCTACCACCATTCTGCACTTGCTCAGCCTATAGTTGAACAGCTCCTGACTACTGTCCAGGGTGCCTGTGTACGGCTTCATGAGCCAGGGCATTAAGGGGTAGGTTGGGTCCCCAAGGATAACTATAGGCATTTCAACATCCCCAACAGTTATTTTCTGGTCTGGGAAGTAAATCCCTTCCTGCAGCCATTTAAACAGACCAGAGTTCCTGAAGACATGAGCGTCATGAAACTTTCCCGGCCATCCCACGTTGATACTGGTGAAACGTCCCTTGTGATCCACCAGTGCTTGCAGCACCATTGAAAAGTACCCCTTGCGGTTTATGTACTCGCCGGCTTGGTGCTCCGGTGCCAAGATAGGGATATGGGTTCCATCTATGGCCCCACCACAGTTAGGGAATCCCATTGCAGCAAAGCCATCCACTGTGACCTGCACATTTCCCAGAATCACTACCTTTGATAGCAGCTGCTCAATGATTGCGTTGGCTACTTGCATCACAGCAACCCCCACAGTAGATTTGCCCACTCCAAATTGCTTACCAGCTGACCAGTAGCTTTCTGGCATTGCAAGCTTCCACAGGGCTATTGCCACTCGCTTGTGAACTGTGCGGGCTGCTCTCATCTTGGTATTCTTGAGCTTCAGGGCAGGGGAAAGCAAGTCACAAAGTTCCATGGAAGTGCCCTTACGCATGCGAAAGTTTCGGCGCCACTGGGAATCAACCCAGACCTGCAACACTATGCGGTCCCACCAGTCTGTGTTTGTTTCCCGGGCCCAGAATCGGCATTCCACGGCATGAGCCTGCCTCATTAACACCATGATCTCCAAATTGCGGGGCAACGTGGTTTTAGAGAAAAGTGTGTTCGTGTCCTCATCACCGCACTGCTGTCGCCTCCTCGCCTGGTTTTTCAGGTGCTGGTTCTGCATACACTGCACGATAAAGCGCGAGGTGTTTACAATGGTCATAACTGCTCTGGTGAGCTGAACGGGCTCCATGCTTGCTGTGCTATGGCATCTGCTCCTGCTTGGGCAATCAAGGGAAAAGGGCGCAAAACGATTGTTTGCCATTGCTCTGGTGGAGAGAGGGGTGACTGACAACATTGCTTACAGGGTTGGTTTACAGGGAATTAAAATCAACAAAGGGGGTGTCTTTGCGAGAAACAGAATGGCCCCCTCAAGGGTAGAACTCAAAACCTCAAGGATAGAGCTCAAAACTGGGTTTAGCAGGCCGTTGATTTCACGGAGGGAGGGAGGAGAAAATGCATACAAACCAAATCTGGTCTATTTCTTGTTTTGATCCACTTCAGCTATCTTTATATATCTTGCTGGCAGCAGACTGTGCAGTACAACCGCTAGCCATCGTCATCTCCTGGGTGCTCGGCTGAAGACGGTACAGTATGACTGCTGGCCATCGTCTTCTGCTGGCTGCAGATTAAAAGACAGTGCACTGCCGGTAGGACTGAATCGCCATGAGACGAAACTTAAAAGGGAAATGACCTGGCTGAGTCACTCCCATGTTTGCCCAGGCGCCCCGATCTCATCGAGCACCCTGGACTACGTCGACAACGGCTACCAGTCATACTGCACTGTCTGATGCCAAAAAGGCAATTAACTGCTGCTGTGTAGCAATGCAGTACCGCGTCTGCCAGCACCCAGGAGATATACAGTGACAGTGAGCTGAGTGGGCTCCATGCTTGCCGTGGTATGGTGTCTGCACAGGTAACTCAAGAAAAAAGGCACAAAACAATTGTCTGCCCTTGCTTTCATGGACGGAGGGAGGGAAGGGGGGCCTGACGATATGCACCCAGAAACACCCGCGACAATGTTTTAGCCCCATTTCTACCCAGAATTCAAATGGGTGGCGGAGACTGCGGGAACTGTGGGATAGCTACCCACAGTGCAATGCTCCAGAAGTTGACTGTTGCCTCGGTACTGTGGACACACTCTGCCGACTACATGCACTTAGAGCATTTGTGTGGGGTCACACACACAATCAACTGTATAAAAATGCTTTCTACAAAACCGACTTCTATAAATTCGACCTAATTTCGTAGTGTAGACAAGGCCTGACATAAGCTCTATGCCTCTCCTGGAGGTGAAGTTATAATTTCAGTGCAGTAGGGCACTTACATCAGTGGGAGCAAGACTACTGTGCACACTGACATAATTAGGTCAACAAAAGTAAGCTGCCTTATATTAACCTAACTGTGTAGGGTAGTCCAGGGCTCAGTCTGCTTATGCCTAGTGCCATATCTGTCTGGAGGTGCTTAAATGCACTTGACACCTACATTTTCACAGTTAAAGTTTCCAAGGTGCCTATGTTTCTGCCTCTGGGCAGGAACACTGCTGCCTCTAGGTTCCTGGATGCCTATCTCTCACCTAAGTATCAATATGCAGTCCACAAACTGGAGGGGGATGATCGTTCACCCACCCATCTTGCTTGCAGGACCCAATCCAGTCCACATGTTCAGATGCCACCTAGCAGCGAGGGGGAGGTAGGATTTGCTCCCTTATAACCTCGGTCCCAATGAATAGAACACTCCCCTATTGTGTAGGAGGTTCAAGTCCCTCTCTGCCTGATGAAGAGAAGGGATCGGAACAGGGATCTGTCACCTCTCAGATGAGTGCTCTGACTATTGGACTGTAGAGTGATTCTCTCTCTTCCTCTGGCCCAATTCATATTTAATTATTCAATTATAGTGAAACAGCTTTGTAGCTCTGGCCTTGGGAGACTGTAGCAGGGTGGGCAGCCCCTTTGGGTGGGTCTACACAGCGCGCAGAAGTGAGCCGTCCAGCCTGAGTTGACAGACTCCAGCTAGTGGGACTTGCATTAGTTCTCTAAAAAGAGTGGCATAGGCAAGACTCTGACGTTGCAGCTCAGGCTGGGGCGTGGGCTCTGAAGCCCACTCACCCTTTTTATAGCTATTCATCACCTCCTCTTTTGTCATCTATCTCTAGTCCCCATTCCTCTCCGAAATTTCTCTTTAGCTGCTTGGGTCAATTCTTATTTTAACCACTTTGGTTTGCCCATTGCTAGCGATAAACCAAATAATGTGGTTCCCAATGTATTACAACTAGGTAAAAGGGGCATCTAAGTAATGAATCATTGTAATAAACATTTTAAAACGTCAAAGTTACAGTACTGTATGGGGGAGCAATGTGGCCCAGTGAACAGAGCACTAACATGGGACCCAGAAGACCTGCATTCTATTACCAGCTCTGCCATTGGCCTGTTGTGTGACCTTAGGCAAGTCATTTCAACTATATGTGCCTCAGTTTCCCCAACTGTACAATGGGTGACAATACTGACCTTATTTGTAAAGTGCATTGAGCTCTACAATTGAAAATACTATATATGAACTAGGTATTTATTAATTGCCAGGTTGTGTAAAATACACTATTGAGCAATTTGGTTTGGATTTCTTTTGCTCCTTTGATATGTATGTAAACGTCTCTAGCGCCTCAGCAAATACTGTGTTTATTTTGTGATGGTGACTGCATGGATATTCTGCTCTTTATGATGATTATAAGAACACTGGCTCACAAGAGGTTAAGCAAATGTTTTCACATCATCATATACTTATTTTACATCGTTGCGAAAACAAAGTTTATTCTATTATTTGAAATTAACATATCCTGTTGCTTCAATAAAATGGTTTCATCAAAGGTAAATATATTCTTCCTCTTGTCAATTAAGCTAAGTGGGAACAGATGCATAAGCTAAACCCTCAGGTGGTCATCAAGGTTAAACAAATCCTGAGGTCTATTCATAAGGTGCACTGGCATTTCCTAAGTATTATTTTTCTTGGAGAGGAAGGGGATGATATACTTCAATGATGTGTGCAGCTGAGGTCTACATCCATTTATACCCTACTTTATCTGGAGTGAGTTGCTCCTGCTCTGAGGCACTCTGATGTAGGTGGTCTGTATCAAATTGCACCAGATTGTGCCATCTGTTTTTAAATAGAACTCCCCTTATACCTCGGGGTTTAGCGGCAGACATCTTCAAATGCGAGGATTGGAGAATATCTCAGTTAGCTCCTTGAACATTATTCCCCTTCCCACGAGTGCTTCTTCAGTCTTTCTGGCTTCAGTTAAAACTGACTGTTCAACTCTTGCTGGCAATAGGAATCTTTTTGATGGCATTGGTTGTATTGGTAGAAAATGAAATATACATCAGGATTTCATCACTTTTTTGTTGGGTTTGGAGCCAGCAACATAACTTCAGCAAGAGCTGCTATGTACTGAAGAAGAAGGCCCAAGGGGCATATGATAGATCCTAGTAGGCCACTGCAAGTGAAAGCTTCTGGGGAAAGAGACATTGCCAATCTCTGGATCCTGTTCGAGACGAATTACTGAAGCCACTATAGTGTTTTACCATCTGCTTCTGCTATTGCTATGTAAGAATCTCAGCAGCACCACTCACCTTCCACAATTGCTCTGTATCTCTGATATGTAATGGTGTTGTCCTACAAAATATTCATTTATGACTTTATTGTTATCTTTTAAGCTATATGATAATAAATTGTTAAGCTTATATTGAGAACACATCTAACACTTTCTGATGGCTAAATCAGTGCTGAAGAGCACTGAGCTCCAGAATTCCTTAAGGAGAAAGAGGCATATCAGAAGGAATTTCAAGTTTTGTATCAACTATTGAAACAGACAAGACAGACATTTGTTCTTCAGATTGTTCTGAATGTAAAAATTAAAAATGAAGCTCAAACAAATATCAAGTTAAACAAATTATACATATGTTACACTGTGACAGGGTGCTCGACTTACCGCTGGATAGCGCCTCCTTGTGGCCATGTCTCAGGATTAGCTCCACTCAGGTCTGACTCCCCCTTTTGCTGCGTGCTGCATGCCCTGCCATCTGTCTCTTGCTCCCTGTGATTCAGTGTACTCTGTCTCTGTAGCTTGGCCCTCCAGCCAGGTCACTATAATTTTCCCCTTCTGGGGTATCAAAGTCCTGCTGCACACACAGTCTCAGGCAGTCTTCTCATGCACTGTCCTGATGGTGCCACTTCCCCATTGGCCAGTAGGGGAACCTGGGCCCACCCACTACTCCAGGTTCCAGACCAGGGACCTTATATCTGGCAACTGTATGGTTCCCCCCTCTCTAGGTGTCCCAACTCAAACTCCCTCCTCCCAGAGAGTACTTGCAGACTACTGAACTCTGTAGCCTCAAACACACCTCCCTACTCCCAGGGAGTGGCAGCAGACTACTTCCCTGCAGCCCCCTTCTGTTGTCAACTATCTGTCTTTATAAACCCAGCCCAGCTCCTCCTGCAGCTGGACTGGCATAGGGGGAGTTCTACTTAAAATTAGGTTTTAGCATTCCCTGGCTTTCCTGGAGGTGCAGCCTACACTTTAATTGACCTAATTAACCCCTTCAGGCCTTGTGTGGGGTTCACCCCCATCACATACATACAAACACATAAGGTGGATGAGGGAATATCTTTTATTTGACCAACTTCTGTTGGTGAAAGAGACAAGCTTCTTCTTCTCAAGAGTTCAAAAGCTTGTCTCTTTCACCAACAGAGGTTTGTCCGATAAATACGACCTTACCCACCCTGTCTGCCTAGTATCCCGGGACCAAAAGAGATACAACAACAACGCATACACATAGGAGACGTATTATAGAAGCCTATCTGCCAATGTAAATATGAAATCAATAATATTTTTCATCATAGTTTATAAAGTGAATGAAAGGTGCAGGAATGAAGATCCTGGAAAATCAAATCTTTTCTTTCTTCACAGCACACATATGACATTAACAGAGTATCAGAGATTAACAGAGGTGCTTGAGCTGAAGCCCCCTTGTTGCACACAAGAAGAGGCTGCTGGCTAGACATTCTTTGGGAGGCCTAACAGCTATAGATCTCATTCCCCTTACTTATCCAAAATAGCCCACATTTGGTACCCTTCTGGGCATGTTGCAAAGCTCATCATCTCCCCTAGACATTTGAAAATGGGGAAAATGTGGGAGCAAGAAGGTGATTTGAACTTTTTAGTTTCTTGGTTGACAGGTAGTGAGTGGCTTATACTGGACAGTACTTCTGCACTGCTAGCAGACCCTAAGCTATGATGTAACGGAACTGGCTGTTCATCATTTTATAATGAGTACAGAGCGTGCTCAAGGGGAGGATAGTAGTTCGGACAGCAGCGCTGAACAGGGTGTTTGCTTTCAGCATGAAAAGTGATGGAAAAGACTGTCTGACCTGCTCTCTGAATTTGTTTGACTCACTAATTTTTATGCTCTTGGAGGTGAGAGGAGTGAGAAGAGGAATTTTTGTTTGAAAGAGTACTCCTTATCTTTGTACTCAGATGTCAAGGGTAAAAATTATGAAGTCTGGTCAAACTGTCAAGCTAAACTCTAAGTTTCCATACATGGCTGAGTTTCATGAAACATTTTTATTTTAATTCAAATCCTTACACCTATTTTTGAAGTTACATTGTGTGACGGGGCAAGGCCAGATGGCTATAGAAAAGTAGTGGGAGATAGATATATTACCTCCAGGCTAAACAAATCCCTGGTACCAGGTTAAGTGAAATGGAAGCTGCTCCAGGTCAGTTAAGACACCTGGGGCCAATTAAGAACTTTCCAGAAGGCAGGGAGAATGCTAGGTTGATTGGGACACCTGAAGCCAATCAGGGGCTGGCTGAAACTAGTTAAAAGCGTCCCAGTCAGTCAGGTGGGGGTGCATGTCAGGAGCTGTGGAAGGAAGTTGCGCTGTTGGAGAGGCTGAGTAATACACACCATATCAGGTACAAGGAAGGAGGCCCTGAGGTAAGGGTGAAGTGGAGCTTGGGGAAGTGAGGGCTGCTGTGGGGGAAGTAGCCCAGGGAATTGTACATGTCATGTTTCTAAAAGGTCAGCTACCATAGCTGATACGATTAGGGTCCCTGGGCTGGAGCCCGGAGTAGAGGGTGGTCCTGGGCTCCCGCCCCTTTTTGCCCCCTGATTAATCACTGAGACTGGGAGACATCAGAGACTGTGCAAGGAAGGCTAACTTCTCCTCACCTCCCTTGCTGGCTTATGACGAAAATGGCTCAGTAGACTGTGACCCTTGTCTCTAGAGAAAGAAGGGTTACATGGAGGGTCACAGTGAGCCTCTGAGGCTAGAGAAATCTGCCAGGAAACGCGGGACCCATGGAGGCAAGGACAGAGCTTTGTCACAACTGGTGTCAGAAGTGGGATTTCATTCACACCGTGGCAGAAGAAAGAGGTTTAAAAAAAAGCGCACTGGGGTTTTGGATTTTTTTTTTTGGTTTTTGTTTGTTTGCTTTGTACCACAATGGAGGAGGTGGTAAGAGCTCTGGTACAAGCCACGGCAGCCCAGCAGGAGGCCACCTGGGTTCAGGCAATGGCACAATAGGAGTCTATGCGGCTACAGCAGGAAACCAATCAATTATTGATGAGCCAGGCAACCCAAGATCGTGCCCTCTTGAGAGAGGTGGTGGACCAGCTGAAGCTCCTCACCACCCAGGCCCGGGGGTCCGACGGGACGCGAACCCTGAAGGCCACTGGTTGTCTGCCAAAGACGACGTCAGGAGATGACATAGAGGCATATCTCCTCTCATTCGAAAGGACTGCTCAGCGTGAGGCATGGCCCCAGTAGCAGTGGGCCAGCATTCTTGCCCCTTTTTTGTGTGGAGAGGCCCAGAAGGCCTACTTTGACTTGCCTGCTGCAGATGCCACTGACTATACCCGTCTGAAGGCAGAGATCCTAGCACGACCAGGGGTAACGGCAGGGGTAAGGGCCCAGAGTTTCCATGACTGGAAATACCAGGAGAACAAACCCCCACCTCGTCGACCTCATACACCTTGCACAGAAGTGGTTACAGCCCGAGGTGTGCAAACCGGAGGAGATTTTGGAGACCCTGGTCATCGACCATTACATGCGGGGACTGCCGCCAGATCTCCGCAAATGGGTAGGCCAGAACGATCTGTCCATATACGACGAGATGATCGCACTGGTAGAAAGATGGATGACAGCCAGGGAAATGACCTGACTACCCAAGGTAGGCCCCTTTCGAAGCAAGCACCCGACCCCAACCCTGGAAGGTTGGGCAGCCAAACCCTGGGGAGTCCTAGGTGGAAGAAGGGGGGGCCCGAAAACCAGCGGGGACCCCAGAAGGAAGGAATTAGCCTGAGTGGGGGGAACCCCGGGACTAAACCCTCTAACCCCTGGGTTGGGGGGCTGATTAAAAGCAATTATAGATGTCATGCATGTGGGGAGTGGGGACACATAGCAGCACAGTGTCCCAGCACCGAGGAGCCTATGCAATGTAACTTGGGGGATTGGGAGGTCCCATGCTCCCTTATCCACCTCGCGGGGGTTGCATTAGCCCCGCATAATTACACCAGGCCAGTGAGGATAAATGGAGCAGAGACTACAGCGCTTGTGGACTCTGGGCGTGCTATCACCCTCATATCGGGTAAGCTGGTAAAAAGTAGTCAGCTGCTACAAGCTAAATGCGTAGCAGTGACATGCGTGCATGGGGCTGTGAGCCATTACCCCACCATCCCAGTGGAGATAGAGGTTCAGGGAAACCCCATTGAGGTGACCGTGGGTGTAGTTCCTAAACTTCCATATCCTGTAGTCATTGGGAGGGACTATCCAGGGTTTGATAATTTACTTCCCCCGGAGAGGCTGGAGGGAGGTGGGGACCCTGAGGACAGCGACTTGTCACCGGGGGAATGCCAACCCCCAATGTTCGCTGAGATTTCTCAGGATTTGTTCTCAGCCCCCCGAAAGACCCGGAAGACAAAAAAAGAGAGGAAGGCTGTGAAGGCCATGGGAACCCGGATCCTGACCCAGGGCCAGAAGACCTCCCTAGTAGGCAGATGGATGCGAGCAGCCAACAGAGAAACTTCCACCACAGAAGGTGAGCCAGAAGCTCCCCCAGCCATGACGGCGGCGAGCCGTTGGAAGAAGCAGAAGCCAGCCCCTGGGAACTTGGGCAGGTTAGTCCCGGGAGAGAGACTTTTGGGCAGGGCCAGGCGGAGGACCCCAGATATGATAACGCCAGGAAAGAGGTGGCCGAGATCGATGGGATACCTGTGGATGGGAAGGTCCGGGGTCCCGGACCTTACTTTATAGTGAAGAAAGATCTCCTGAACCACGTGGTGCAAATGCAGGAGCAAGAGATACAACAACTTCTGGTGCCACGAAAACATCAAAACGGATAGCCATGGATCTGGTAGGGCCCCAAGAGAACACAGCTCGGGGCCACCAATATGTGCTTGTTGTACTGGACTATGCAACCCGGTACCCGGAAGCTGTTCCCCTGCGCAACACAGCTTACAAGACAATAGCTAAGGAGCTAGTACAGATCTTTGCCCAGGTTGGGCTACCCAAGGAGATATTGACTGATCAAGGGACACCTTTCATGTCCAAGTTGATGAAAGATCTCTGTTCATTGCTCCATGTACAAGCCCCTATGGACCTCTGTATACCACCCGCAAACAGATGGCCCTGTGGAAAGGTTCAATAGGACCCTCAAGGCCATGATCAGGAAAGTGGTGAGCTGGGATGGGAAAGATTGGGATACCCTATTGCCTTACCTCATGTTCGTCATCCGGGAGGTTCCGCAAGCCTCCATGGGTTTCTCTCCATTCGAACTACTATATGGGCGCCACCCTCGGGGCATATTGGATATAGCCAGAGAAGCCTGGGAAGAGGAGCCAAATTCCAGAAGGAACATAGTTGAGCATGTACTGCAGATGAGAGATCGGATAGCCTGAGTTACGCCCATTGTATGGGAGCACTTGGAGAGAGCACAGGAGACCCAACGAACCCATTATAACCACCAAGCAAAGCTTTGACGGTTCCAACCAGGGGATCGGGTGATGGTACTGGTGCCCATAGCAGAAAGTAAACTGTTGGCCCAGTGGCAGGGACCCTATGAAATAATCGAAGCCTTGGGAGAGGTGAACTATAAGGTGCGGCAGCCAGGTCACGGAAATGAGAGCAAATTTACCACATCAATCTTCTAAAACCTTGGCAAGATTGAGAGGCATGCTTAGTCATGCAGGAGACCCTTCCCCAGGAGGATACTTACACGAGCAAGTGAGCATATCATCCGACTTGACGCCGATCCAAAAGATCGAGGCAGCCGACATGATTAATCGCAACCGAGATGCATTCTCTACAAAACCAGGGCGGACGACTGAGACCTATCACCATATCCACACGATCCCCGGAGCCAAGGTAACATTGAGACCCTACCAAATCCCAGCAGCCAAAAGAGAAGAAATCAAGGCCGAAGTAAAGAAAGTGTTAGAATTAGGGGTTATTGAAGAATCTTACAGTCAGTGGTCCCGTCCCATTGTTCTAGTGCCTAAACCTGACGGTACCAGGAGATTCTGTGATGACTTTCGCCCCCTGAATGAAATATCCCAGTTTGATGCATACCCCATACCACCCATCGACGAACTGGTTGACTGACTGGGTAGTGCCCGATTCTTGACTACACTGGATCTGACAAAAGGGTACTGGCAGATTCCTCTGACCAAAGAAGCTGAAGAAAAGACAGCATTCTCCACCCCAGATGGGCTATTCCTGTACACCGTCCTCCCTTTTGTGCTATCTGGGACCCCAGCCACATTCCAGCGCCTCATGGATAAGCTGCTGCGCCCCCATACTAGTTATGCAGCTGCATACCTAGATGATGTCATCATCTATACGCCAGACTGGGGAACCCACTTGGAGAAAGTTGAGGCAGTACTGCGCACCTTAAGGCTGGCTGGCCTCACTGCTAATCCAGCCAAATGCGCCATAGGGCTAGCAGAGGCTACGTACCTGGGATATATTGTGGGAAGGGGCATAGTGAAGCCCCAAATGAATAAGCTAGAGGGAATTCAAAACTGGCCCCGGCCGACCCGAAAGAAGCAGGTCCGTGTGTTCCTAGGCGTGGTAGGCTACTACCGACGGTTTATTCCCCACTTCACAGCTAGGGCAAGTCCCCTAATGGACCTGGTGAAGGCCCGAGGTCCATACATGGTAAAGTGGACAGACACAGCAGAGGGGGCATTTACAGACCTTCGGATGGTCCTCTGCAATGACCCCGTACTCATAGCCCCAGACTTTCACAGGGAATTTATTTTACAAACAGACGCTTCCGAGGTGGGGTTGGGAGCAGTTCTGTCGCAAATGGTGGGAGAAGAGGAACACCCGATCCTCTACCTAAGCAGAAAGCTTCTCCCAAGAGAACAGAAATACGCAGTAGTCGAGAGAGAAAGCCTTGCTATCAAATGGGGTATGGAGACACTGTGTTATTACCTCTTAGGCCGGCGATTTACTCTTGTGACAGACCATGCACCCCTCCAGTGGATGCAGTGGAATAAGGAAAAGAATGCAAGGGTCACCAGGTGGTTCTTATCCCTCCAACCATTCCAGTTCCGCATACGACACAGGGCTGGATGCCACCATGGCAATGCTGATGGTCTGTCACGAGCATACTGCCTAGCGTCCCAAGTTGCCCAACTCTATGGTGTTGATCAGAGGGGGGGGGGGGGGGGGATATGTGACAGGGCAAGGCCAGATGGCTATAGTAAAGTAGTGGGAGATAGATATATTAGCTCCAGACTAAACAAATCCCTGGTACCAGGTTAAGTGAAATGGAAGCTGCTCCAGGTCAATTAAGACAGCTGGGGCCAATTAAGAACTTTCCAGAAGGCAGGGAGAATGCTAGGTTGATTGGGGCACCTGAAGCCAATCAGGGGCTGACTGAAACTAGTTAAAAGCGTCCCAGTCAGTCAGGTGGGGGTGCATGTCAGGAGCTGTGGAAGGAGGTTGTGCTGTTGAAGAGGCTGAGTAGTACACACCGTATCAGGCACAAGGAAGGAGGCCCTGAGGTAAGGGTGAAGTGGAGCTTGCGGAAGTGGGGGAAGTAGCCCAGGGAATTGTACATATCATGTTTCTAAAAGGTCAGCTACCATAGCTGATACTATTAGGGTCCCTGGGCTGGAGCCCGGAGTAGAGGGTGGGCCTGGGCTCCCCCCCCTCCCCTTTTGCCTCCTGATTAATCACTGAGACTGGGAGACATCAGAGACTGTGCAAGGAAGACTAACTTCTCCTCACCTCCCTTGCTGGCTTATGATGAAAATGGCTCAGTAGACTGTGACCCTTGTCTCTAGAGAAAGAAGGGTTACGTGGAGGGTCACAGTGAGCCTCTGAGGCTAGTGAAATCCGCCAGGAAATGCGGGACCCACGGAGGCAAGGACAGAGCTTTGTCACGATTGTTACATTTTATTCTTTAAGAGGATGGGGGTGATGACAGAACAAGTAGTAACAGATGACAGAACAAGGAGTAATGGTCTCAAGTTGCAGTGGGGGAGGTTTAGGTTGGATATTAGGAAAAACTTTTTCACTAGGAGGGTGGTGAAACACGGGAATGCGTTACCTAGGGAGGTGGTGGAATCTCCTTCCTTAGAAGTTTTTAAGGTCAGGCTTGACAAAGCCCTGACTGGGATGATTTTGTTGGGGATTGGTCCTGCTTTGAGCAGGGGGTTTGACTAGATGACCTCCTGAGGTCCCTTACAACCCTGATATTCTATGATTCTATGATGGAGAGAGAAGAAAAAAAGCAACAAAAATATTTTGTGAGTGCAAGTGAATTCACACCATAGCAGGAGCTGTGCAGATGTCAGATGATTGCATTCCTGTAAATTGTGCAGCCTCCTGTAATTTATGCACTATTTTCATCAGTGTCACAAATTG